AGGTGCAGAAGGAATTGGTTGCCTATTTGGCCTCTACTCTCCTGTCTTCTCCAAAGAGTCCTTCTTTCATTTAGGTATTCGCCCTTCTCTGTGTGAGCATGTGTTTCAAGGGAAGCTGTCCCATCACCAGTCCCAGGCGGTGAGTCATGCCTGGTCTAAGTCATCATGGGGATTCCCTCACTCTCACTATTGGTTGTCTTACACATGGGCAGATGACCCAATTTTGGCCAATAAAATATGAAGACGTTTACTGGAGGGCTTCTGGGAAGGTCTCCTTACTTAAAAAACAAACAAACAAACTAGAGGACACCTGAATATATCTATGGACCCCAGGAAATGATAGAGGAAGAGGAAGTATTCATTTTTCTAGTATTTACTATTTACTGTGCCATGTTTCTCACTAGGTATTTCCATAAGTGATCTTTTATGCTCAGAACAAAATCACAAGGCTGGTTTTATACTCATTCACAGAAGAGGAAACTCAGACTCAAGAGTCATTCAGCTATTAATTGGTAGAGCAAGGATGCAAATCCCAAAATACATGGCTTCAAATTTATCATGCTTTGTGTTATATATTTTTACATCTGGATAAACAGATGTATGTTAGTGGTTGTGTCAGCCAGTCTCCGAAAGTATTTTCCCCAAGGTGTGCTCAAGTGGAGTCAGGTTCTGAGTTTGCAGAGATCTGTGCCTCAAGAGGCTTGCCCTGGGAGTCACACGGTCCCCTCAGCTGACATCCAGTCTGCTGGTCCTCTGAAATGGCAACAGCCTAGGAGTATGCCTGTGGTCAGGGAGGTGTGAATCATTCTATGTTGCCGGCTTTGGGGACATGACTGGGAGTTTCCTTTTGTCTGTTTAATGTCTCGCTGTCATCTCTGAATCACTTGGAGATTTTGAGTTAACCATTATCACAACAAATGGTAGAAAATACCAAGTGATTGTTGCTTTGAACTATTTTAGCAATTGGTTTGTTTGCTTCTTGGATGAATTAACTTAGCTGGCCAATGGAAGCCCAGGGGTATTCCTTTTACGAAAAGCCATGTAAATCTCTTCCAACAAAGATAAAAATGCCTGCCTTATTGGGGTTGTAGTGAGAACTAACAACTGAAAGTCGCTAGTACAGTTTCTATCATACGGTAAAAAATAGAGCATGCCAGTTCTCTAATTCCTCTTTGCTACCTTAAAATCTTTGCTCAATGATCATCTCAATGAGGTCTTCATGACTGTTTTCATCAGCCTTATCCTTCTTCGCATCTTGCAAATACTATTTAATTTACTTATGCAGTGTGTCTATTGTGTATTATCTCCTCCTGCAACAATGCAAACTCCTCAAAGGCAAAGACTTATGTCTCCTTTGTTCAATGACATATACAGTTGTTTCTTGAAATGAATTCTTTCTGGAAAACTGTTTGAGAAGTGATTTGTTCAAAAACTGAATTTCCTTTGTCACCTTAGAGACACGTGACTGATCACGCAGGTATCAGCATGATTGTTGGGAAGTGAATCAGGACGCTGGAGTTTTGTTAGACCACTGAGACATTTTTGTTTTTCACGAACAACTTAGTCAAGAAACAAATTGTTTGAGAGCCAAGATCTTCCAGAACGGAGGTTTTGTTCCTGGTAGTCTTATCCTTAGTTCTATGGGAGTCTCCTCTATCAGCCAAGAGAGTGGCAGGGGGAGGTTGATACACTGAGCACGTGAAAGACTAGCGAGATAACTAGATAGAGGAAAAAGGCTTTCTCCCCCTTTTCTGGTACCAGATTGAAGGGGGTACCCAGGGGGAAGCAGGCACATGCACCACAGAAGTGAAAATGCCCAGGAGAGGTGCTGGACCAAAAATGGTGCCAGTCTAGCCTGGGGAAAGAAGGGGTTGTTTGGGAGGTGGACTCACCCAAAGCATGTGAAAGTCTGGGAAATTGATTGGTCATTTTGAGAAAGCACCTGGTTTATCCCACGCCCAAGCTAATATAATTGCAGGGGAACAAAGAAAGGCTGGTTCTCTCTTGCTCATGGCATGCTGGCTCATGACCTGCACTTGGCATTTCAAACAAACTCTCCTGTTCTCTCCATGGGCCATGTGGCCCATAGCCTTCATGAGGGAGCTTCTCTCTCTCTCTCTCTCTCTCCCTTTCACCATCCTGGTGATGCATTTGCCAGTGAGGGTGCATACTCTCTCCCAGGAGCACATGACCTTGCAGCCCGAGCAGCTGCATGGCCCAGGGCCATGTGAGCTTCACACACAGGCTCCAGGAGGAAACCTGAAATGAGCAGCAGCTGGGAACAAGCCACACGCTACCTGGATGGGGAATATCGACTGCTTAGCAGCCACCTCTGGGCTTCAAAGAACTTATTTTCAGTTGAAACAGGAACTCTGGATACTGGCTTTTTTCTTGGTCTTGCTGAGGTGATGGGCTTTGAGACAAGAGTCTGCCATCCTCCCAGATCATGCAGCACCTGAATAAAACTTCTTTTTTCTTTTTTACACCAGCAATGCTTCATGAGTTTGGCTTTTGTGGCAACAGGCAGCTGAACCTTTGTTTTTTGACTGTACAAAGTGTTTAGAACACTGTCTGGCACCATAGTGAGTGCTTGATAAATACTGTTGGACAAGACAAATCCATTCTTACAGGTGGTCTAAGCTCTCTGGAGCAGGTTGCGTAGGTCATAAAGAAGCAGAGGATATGAATTATATGTTTAGTGCCTCCCAAAAGGCTGTCACTGAATCACCTCTAACACCATGCTCACAACTTCTCTGACTCATCAATACAAGAATTAGCTAGAGAAGTATTTTTGCATTTTGCAAACATTGTCGATTCTGTTATTTAGTGACAGTTTTCCAAAAAAGAATTATTTTAGAATTTAGTACTAAAGTCAGACTAATTTCCTTCTCTTTTTCTGATTAAAAAGTTTTCCAACTGATCTTATATTCTACTTTTTGTCTTGGCTGCCCAGAACATTAGAGGTAAATTAAATCATCAAGAGCATTGACTGGCTTGCTTCAGATTCTAGTTGTAGTTATCTACTCTTACAGGTTTTTGATTTCTGATTTAGGCCAAAATGCACTTAAAATCTGTTTGTCTGTCTGTCTATCATCTACCTGTATTTAGGTTCCTAGAGCTGCTGTAATGAATTACCACAACCTGGGTGTCTTAAAACAACAGAAATGTTCTCTCTCACATTTCAGAAAGTCAAAAGTCTGTAATCATGGTATCGGCAGAGTGGGTTTCTTCTGAAGGCTCTGAGGAAGAATTTGTTGCATGTCTGTCTTTTAGCTTCTTTTGTAGCTTCTTGTGGCAGCTGCCAATCCTTAGCTTTCGTTGGCTTGTAGATACATCACGTCAGCCTCTGTCTCTGTCTTCATGTGAGTTTCTTCCCTGTATGTCTCCACGCATGGCGTTCTTGTAAGGGCACCAGTCACTGGAGTTAGGGCCTACCCTCATCCAGTATAGTCCCATCTTATCTTAAACAATTGCCTCTGAAAAGGCTGTGTTTCCAAATAAGGTTACCTTCTGGAGTTCTGGGTAGATATTAACTTTGGGGGGATGTTATTCAACCCAGTACACTACCAATATCACACTTGCTTTATGTTCTTACCTTTTGCCTTTCAACTTCTAAGATATGTTGCTCAGTTTCTCTGGTTTATTTATTCCACAATTACTTACTCAGTGCCTACTATAGTCTAATGAAGGGGAAATACACTAACAAATAATAATCTGATGAAATATATGTTAACAAATTGTAAAGCTGATAAATTATGATGAGTGCTATAAAATAATGTGAGATGTAAGATAAAATTTTAAAGGGACATATGATTTGGATTGAATCAGGAATAATGGCAGGCTCTGAAGAAGGGAGATTTCAGGTGGGAGTTTGTAATGAGAAGACATTAGCTGGGTAAGTGTCGGAGGAAGGGTAGTGAAGGAGGAGGAGGCGACAGCATGTGCAGAGACCCCAGGGCAAGGGAGCCACTGGGGACTCTCTATCTAAAATGACTATTGTGGTGGGGCTACCATGGTCCAGGAGAAAGTAGTAAGAGATGAGGCTGAAGAATTAGGCAGGGTCATATCCCACAGGACACTGTAAGCCACGTTCAGTATTGCAGACTGTTTCCTAATTAACATGGGAGGCCATGGCAGGCTTCTAAGCAGAAGAGTGATCTACCATGTGGAAAACAAATTGAAGGAAGGCAGGAAGAAAAACAGAGATACCAGTGAGGAGACTTTAACAGTGGTCCAGGTGAGGGATAATGGTTTGGGCTAAAGTGATTACTGTGGAGATGGCAATATCTGGGCATATTTGAGACATATTTTATAGAAAGAAAGGAAAGGATATGGCTTGTTGATGGATATAGAAGGTGAGACATGGGAAGCATTAAGGATCCCCACCAGTTTCTGGAATGAGTCACAGGATGGACAGAGGCACCATTACAAAGACGTGAGGCACAGGAGGAAGAGCACATTTAGCAAAGAAGATCAAGGGTTCAGTTTTTGACAAGTTAAATGTGAGATGCCTGTAGAATATTCAAGTGGAATTGTCAGACAGGAAATGAGATATATAGTTCTGGAACCCAGGAGGATAATCTGTGTTGAAATACATATTATATGTGGGGGTTGTTGGCAAATACAAGCTATTTGAAGCCATTATTGTTGCTGTTAGATATTTTCTTTTAAATGTCAGGCTGACCTTGTACTGGTTTATTTGGCTTCTCTTTTAAATGCCTGAGCTCTTGTGGCTCTTGTTACACCTTTTAGTCCCCTATCTAATCATCCAATTTCTGGCTCACTTTGCAGGTTTCTTTGTAATTACACCATAAAGGCAGAGCATTGCAATAGAAAGAAGTAGATTCTGATTATTTGTATGCCTTGGGCAAATCACTTAGGATCTCTGGGTATTAGTTTCACATCTATAAAAGGGAATTGGTTGTTTTCTGTTTTAAAAAAATCTATTCTTCACGGTAAAGCTATACAAAGCATTAATGTTATCCACAGCTCTCCCTTACCTCGGTGACAGCAAAGCTTCTCTTGCCACAGGGAACCACCTTGTACCACTTGTCGTGCAGCACATCCATAAACCCGTGGGACTTGTATTGACTGATTAGCTCGGATATATTGGAGGTCAGCGGAGAGTTGGGTGGGAGCCCAATGCCGTATCCTAGGAGAAAACATAGTCTCAGATGAGCTTTTCACCCAAGAGGTTCCTCAGAGGCTGCTACTATACTCGTGTGATATTGCCATCAGGCCCGGTGACAAAGGTATAGTAAACTGTCACCATTTTGCCTTTGAAGGACTCAAAGATATCTGAAGTATGATTACTTTAGGTCCGCTGCCTCTCTGAGTAGATGAGATGAATCCAGAAAGGAGAGGAATGGGCTGTGCATAATATGGGGGTGGTACATTGTTTTCCATGGCTTTCTGGCTTTCTTTCAACATATTTATTAGAAACCATCTTTGAGATTTCTACCAGGGCTGGGATTCCCTCCTCATCGCTCCTAGGATCCTTCCTTTAGACCTTAAGTACACAAAAGCAGGTTGTAATCACCATCTTGCCTTATGACGTACTCCCATCATTGGTCATGCATGGCACTATTTTACTTGTATTTATCTTTAGGTAATAAGACCATGTAAACATATAACATAGCATGAGAACTAAAATATCAATAAAAAGTTATAATAACTAACTTCAATTATTAAAAAAAAATCTGGTAATACTAAGTGTTAAAGAAGATACAGATCAATACGATTGCTTACATATTGTTTGTGGTCATGCAAACTGACATAAACACTTTGGAAAACAGTTCACTGTTTCAACTATACATTAAATTTTGTATAGTTGAACACTTATATACTCTAAGGCCAATAATTTTAAGTATATTCCCAAAGAACTCTTCCACAAGCACACCAGGAGATATGCACGAGAATGTTCTCAGAGCCACTTTTCATAGTAGCAAAAATTGGAAACAACTCAAATGTTCTTTGACGAGAGAATGGATAAATAAATTGTGGAATATTTACACAATTCGAATATGACATGGTGTGAAACATATGAACTAGAACAATATGTAATAATGCGGATGACTCTTAGCAATAAGATACAGAGTGAAAAAGGTCAGCCCCAGAAGATTACAGCACAAATCCATTGTGTAAATGTAAAAACATTCAAAACTGAACAGTGTATCTTTAGGAATTCATATGTACATGATTAAAATATATTTAGAAAAAAATCAAGGAAATGATAAACCAGGAATCCAAGATAGTAGTGACTGAAGGGAAGGGAGTCAGGGGAAATGAGGAGGGAGGAACAGAAAGGTGGATGTAATTTGTTGTCAGTTTTATTAATCAGCTTGAACCCTATATCCCCACTCTGTGTGGTTTTATTTGCTTTCCACACTGTTACCGCACTGTTAATCTCTTTGATGAGGCATGTGAAAGAGCTAATTACCTGCATTTTATCTCTATTGGATAGCAGAGTCAAGAAAAAGATGTTTTGCCCTCAAGATGGTTGAGAAAGATAAATTAAAAATATAGTTACTTCCTAAAAGGCTGTCACGAATCCAAAGATATTTACTGGTGACAAATACATGTTATAATTATTGTATCTTAAATTTATTTCTAAGGAAATTAGTTTTTGTTCCTTTTTTTATTGCAGATACATAAATTACACAAATCCTTCTTTAAAAAAAGATGAGGCCTGAGATGTGCGCATAACCAATAAAAGACATAAATAATGCAGAAAAATGTTTGAGTTTTAAAGAGCTGTATGTTTTCTTTTCCCTGATAATTTTGTTTTTCCTTAACAATGGCAAGTCAAGGAAATGATGACAAATGTCAAGAGCGTGATTAGAATTTTCCATACAAAAAGTTATTTTGAGTGCCTGTTTTGTGCCTTGTAGTTTTGGTTTGAAAGGCAAGGCTGACAATAAAAGGCTTTACATGGGGAGCCTATTCTTCTGCTGATGTTATCATTAAATAACATTTTTTGTAATGAGTATAAGGACGTAAGCGGTTTTCTTTAGAAACATTTCTTATAATGTATGCTATTGACAGTTCAGTTGCACATACATTTTTCAGTACTTATTTATGTGCCAGACACAATCTTAGGCACATGTATGATAATATTCATTGATGAACTGATTCACTCATGCATTCATTCACTCAACAAATATACTGAGGGAACAGGTACAGTGTTGAGTGCTCCGGATTTAGCAGTGACCAAGGCACATATGGTCCTGGCTGTTGCACTGTGTTATCTGTCTCTGTCTTTGAGGGAGACAGATATTAAACAATGCACCAAATAATGATTATTTTATTACAAATGAGATAAGTGCCATGAGGATGAAGAACTGGAGCATGTAAGAACATATAGTAGGAAGACTTGGAACTCTCTCGTAGAAGTGGGTTGATGGTCAAGATAAATAGGCCAGGCTTGCTGAATATTATTGTATTTTTTTACAATACATTATAAACTATTATATTACAAAAATACTGTAAAAATACATTAACATTCAGCCCCTGAGGCAGTAGTTTTCAACAACAACAGCAACAACAACAACAACATCTGATATTTATTGGGGGCTTAAAATATACCAAGTCCTGCTCTATAATAAAGTGTTTACATACCTTACCCCATTTTGTAGATCATGCAGTAGGCCAAGACCATGTATGTACTCGAGTGTGGCATACAGTTCAGTTAAATCACTCTGGGGTTCTAATAATAAGAATTACAACACACCTGAGCCCTACTGTGTGCCAGGTGCCACTCCATGTGTGTCTAATTCCTTTATAAACCCATGCAGAATATATATTATTTGAGTGTTAAAGGCTGGATAAGTAACTTACCCAAGGTCACACAGCTCATAGTTGGAAAAGCTAGCATTCGAAAGTAGGTCTGTTTGAGTCTAAAACCAATGCTCTGCCCACTGTACCTAGTATAGCACGTGACCATGTCAAGGGAATACCTGGCTTGTTTCTGCCCCTTCAATGCAGGCCATATTGCCACAGTTATTTGATGTAATCCCCCAACACTAGGCAACAGGCTTCTAAGATGGTGGTTTGTTTTCAACAGCAGACAAAAATATATATTATTCATGAGCAGATTTTATTTATAAACTTTTCATTAAGTTGTGTAAATACTGTGTATGTATGGCCCTAATTGTTATATAAGTGTGTGTATATGCAGGTATACCATATATACATAGGTGAGGAAATTAACTAGCAAGGATGCTCCCTGACTATATTATTCCTCCTAAAAATTCTCTTAAGTTATTACAGGCCACATTAGTATAATAATGACAGAACTGTTTTCATTTATCACTTGATAAGCATTTTTGCACCTCTATGCATCTAGTCATTAATTCCACAAACATGTATTGACTACTCACTCGGTACCAGGCACTCTACCAAGTGCTATGGTGGTCACCAAGTTAAATCAGACACCGAGTCTGCCCATTAGGAGCTCATGGTCACGTGGGAAGAGGAGGCTCACACACATAACTACACAACACAGTGGGAAGTTACAGGACTTTTCTTGGGAAAAGAGATAGGTGAGGCATAAATTCAGTAAAGGTAAAATTTAATGACTAGGATGCAATGAGGAGGATAGATAAAACTCTGTAGAGTTCAGAAGAATGACAGATTGATGCCAGATGAGAGGATAAGAGGAGGCATTTTAGATTGATTTTTATAATGGTATTTCAGGCAGATGAGACAAAAATACATGATAAGAAAGTTTAAAAATCTAAAATTAATACTTAAAATAAATCTGCATATTCTAAGAATAGAATTTTTGGCACTACAACAAAAGTATAAAAATTGCCCCAGAGGAAAAGCTATGTTGAAATTGTAGAGACATTTATAAAAAATTGCTACATAGGAAATAATAAATATTAAATCACTCTACTCTATCATGTCAAGGTTCAGTTGAAATTGACTGCTAAAAATATATTACCGTCCTTTTTAACTTTCTATTTTAATGAATATATTCTCTATTGACATTTTAATGATTTTTAGCATTAATAGTAATTATTAGTTCATTACAACGAATTATGCATATGGAACAAGGGGAGAAATAAGAAAAATGTTATGTGACAAATGAGAAGAGGTATTTGTTAAAAGACATAAAATTCTATTTTACTCAGAAACATAAAATAGTAAAAGCTTGCCCTGGCTGGGTGGCTCAATTGCACATTGACCGATATACCAAAGGGTTGCAGGTTAGATTTCCAGTCAGGTTGTGGGTTTGGTCCCTGGTTGGGGTGTGTGGGGGAGGCAACTGATTGATGTTTCTCTGTCACATTTATGTCTCTCTCTCTTTCCTTTCCTCTCTCTCTAAATCAATACACATATCCTCAGGTGAAGATTAAAAAGAAAGTAAAACCTGGAAGTTTTCATTTCTATCTTTTTCTTCATTAGTTGCTTTTCAAATTGGATTGTGTTCATTGGTCAAAGAATTCTTGTTTTAAAATTGCTGACTCAACTTAGCAGCCTGAGTTGCTTTCATTATCATTAAAAACATGGCTTTGCAATAAAGACCAGGTTGACTATTTTGTGGTTGATGGATGAAGCAAAATGGAATCTTTCAACTCTACAGATGAAGGCATCAGGCACCCTGGATATTGGATACAGCTTAATAGCTTAAGAGAACAATTTTTACAATAGAATTCCAATCTTTTCCCCATGGATAAATCAACTTTATTCAACTGAGAGTGGTGGAAATATATTTTGGCTAGGAAACGTATAGTTAAAAATTCATAGACTAAGAGGACTTCCTGAAATGTGGTTGGAAAATAGATATTTTGAAAATAAGATCTCAGATAACATTAAAAAAGGCTTCAGGAAGAAAGACTAATTCAGTTTTACAGTCTGTCCTTAGAATATCATATTTAGCTACTCTGGGACAATGGTTGGGATAACCCCAACTATAAAGGAAACATTTAAAATGGGTTTCCTTTACTCCCAGCACATCACAGCGGAGAGAGGAGTGTGTGGGAGAAGCTGAGACCTAAGAAGGCTATCTATCCTGGGACAGTTTTATAGTGAATTGCTCTCAATTTATTCATTCAACATACTGAACACTAATTTTGGGGGGTACTTATTATGTGCTTGTACATGCTTTACATGTATTATTTTCCTTAGTCTTTACAACAACTCTCATAGATATATTAGTGCAGGTGAGGAACCTGAAGAACAGGTCAAGTGACTTGCCCTATGTTGCACAGTTAGTAACAGCAGCTCTCTCCTAACCCAAGCACAGACGTCACAGCTGGAGCTCCAAGCTGTGAAGCACTGTATTAAATAATTAGTGGAAGGCACGTAAAAGAACACTCAAAACAGGCAAAGGTCTTTGGCAGAAAGGTCACAAATCATTACTGTGCAGTTCCATTACTTTTTTCTCATTTGACCTTTACTGTCAGCTAACTCCACTGCATAAATTTGGGACATGTATTCATTTATCTCAACACTTTCCTTTTTGCCCCCAGAGCATGCAATGTCTTTGCGTCCATGGTGTATACAGGATTTAATATGACCAAAAGTGTTCTGTATGTTCTTAAATTCCTAATATTTTGGTTTGTTGTGCTAAGTATTATATAGAGCGAATGTACAATGAGCATGAAGGAATCAATGAACTCCATTTTCCCTCCTAAGTTTGCAAAATCATTTAAGCACTTGGAAACGCATATGCAGACCATCTGGGTGCTTTTGATGACTGCATTTGTATGGGAATTAAGTACTTATTTCAAATCTAATGAGTTATGTATTGGGTAATACATCATTTATCACATAACTGTTATATGCCTAGAATTGTACTAGATCTTGTGAGAGGAATCAGACATATGAAACAGTCTTATAAGAATATTTCATAAATTACTTTAATGATATTTTTATGCTTATAAAGTCTAGTTAATTAATAAAGCCCACACTGTCACAAGTTCCAGAAAGCTAAATGTTGTTAAAGGAAAGCATGTAATATTTTTAAAAATTTTGTTAGGAGAGAAAGATTCCTTAAAAATCCATAAATTAACATGCTTTTTAAAAAAGCAGCAATCAGAACTTTTCCTAGTATCTTCATCACATTGTTTATAACCTATAAGTAACCTCCCTTTGTGTTTTACCAAGTTCTCTTTTTAGGGCATGAACTTGCTGCCAGGGGCAGTGATGAAATAAATTTTCTGATTTGCAACTCACACAGAGTAAATCAGCAATAGTTTTTTGTTTTTGTTTTTAAATAAACCAACAACGATGAGAATGTTCTCTCTGTTCAAATCTGTAGTCTTTCTGCTCTTTTGCAGGGAGAACCCTTCATGGGCCATTTTGGTGCTGATCCTCTTCAAAAACAACGTGGTGTCTGGCGACGATGAGAACTGCAAGGCACTAAGTCTCGGGTGCACAGATGGAAGTGTAAACAGGAAGCCAGTGGGAAGTTAATTGTCTGGCATCTGGCACTGAGAGCCAGCAGAGGCAAACAAGCCATCTCACCACTGCCTTTTGACAAGATAGGGCTGCCCCCTGAAGACAAAGGTGGAAAGGGGAGTCCCTCAGTCTTACGCCCACAACCAATGATTCATTGTTTAGTAGCTGCTGATGGCAGAAGGGTCCTCAATTACCCAGTGAATCTAGGGCAAAAAAAAAAAAAAAAAAAATCCCTTCTATATCTCCAGATGCCACCAAAAACTGGAATTTTCCATTGTTACAACAAAATGGGGTTATATAATGAATGTTCTTCGGTTCAAGCTTTTTCTTTTTGTGACTTTACTGTCTCAGACTGTAGTCTTAATAGAAGACCACTACCACTTAATCTCTCTCTTTCTGAATTCTATCCCTGGTTCAGGCGGAGGTCACTTGGCGTGGAGAAGAGATTGATTTCTCTTTGGAGAAGGCACAAAGAAATAGCATCAGCTGTCATATTGTCATTCATCACCAAGGCAAAGGCTTAAATACAAAATTTGCTGATGTGCTTAGGGGAGACAGAGACCAACTGTGGTTGGGAAATTGGATTCAGAATAGTCTTGCTATACTAGTTAACATTACAGAAAAGTATAGTTTTATGGAAACAGGACTTGGGCATCTCCATGGGATTGTTTCAAGTCAAGTGTTTGCTGACAAGTGAACATCGCTGTCTTGAGAGCTAGCATGTACTGCCAGAGAAGGGAAGCTGGGAATTGGGAGATATGAAATTTGCTGGTTCAAACTACTGGCTCCATATATCAACTGTTGTCCAGAATGAAAGAAGCTACTGACAAAGCAATCGTTCTTTGGTCCTGAAGTTTGATTGATTGGTTGATCAAGTTGGAAGCAAAAATTTGCTGCCAGTGGGGAGAAAGGCAAACCTGAGGTCCTAAACAAGATTTTGTTTAGGACTCTTAAATGTTACTAAGCTATAAAGGGAAATGTTTTTCTACTTGTTTTCCAACTAGTGGAAAAACATTTATTTAAGAACCATGAGCTTTGGATTATAATTCCAGTATTATCATCTAATTGTGTGATTATGAAAAAGTGATGTAATGTCCCCAGGCTTTCTTGTGTTTAAAGCAGGGGTATCTAAACTTTTGGTACCTTGCACCACACTGGAAGAAGAAGAGTTGTCTTGGGCCACACATTAAATATACTGTGACACGTAATCACAAAAAAAAATCTCGTAATGTTTTAAGTAAATTTACGATTTTGTGTGGGCCACATGCATAGCCACCCTCAGCCTTATGTGGCCCACGGGCCATGGGCTGAACACCTTTGGAAGTGAGTAAATTAGATTATATGAACATTGGGGTCCTTCCGGTTGTAAAATGCAATCATTCTAGTTTTTGCAACTTTTGTATCAGATTCATTATAGGATTTGGCCATTAGAAAATACAGATTAATTTAAAATTAGACTCCCCACTTACTATACCATGCCACCACTCCTAGATATCTGAAGCAACATCATTTGGGTAACAATATTTTTGTTGTTTTTTTTCCCCTAACAGTTGGGTAAATAAATGTTTGTGGAGTAGGTGAAAAATAAATTCCTAACTTCAGCAACTTAATAGCTAAGTGCTTATGTGTTGAAAATAAAAACAAGGAAAGATAAATAGCATTTTGCCTCTGACTTTGGCATTTGTGACTTGCTACGTTGGCAAAATGAGCACATCCTGAGTAAAAGTGAATTAGGAGTGACTGATTAATACCTTCTATGGCAAATGGCTTTCCCACGGTAAGAAGTTTGCAGTCAGCATCTATTGACACTTCATAATCCAGAAGGGCTTTGTCCATGATGAAGGCGTCTAGTTTCACTGGATCATTCCTATATTTAAGACCAAGAGAAGGAAAGCCAAAAATGATTCATTAGTGGACAGAAAGCATGAGGGCTGATGGCTGGCTTTGGTTTAAGGGACAGAAACCTGGATGCTAAGGGCAGCACAAGCTAGCTAGCTGCTGACTTGGCCTTGCTGACATCCCACTGGCCTGTGGACAGCAGACCAGGAGACAAAGCCACTCTTCTAGGAGAGCATGACCTCCTCCCAGTGGGTTTGTCTACCAGTTCCTTCACTACTTCTAAACCCAACAACAAAGCCAGAGAGACTCTGAATTGAGTGGGAAGGTTCATTTCTCTTATAATAACTGAAGGGTTTTTTTTTTTTTTTTTTTTTGGTGCTAGGCATTGTATTTTCCATACATGTTATCACTCACAATGGCTGTGAGGTAGGTAGTATCATTCCATTTTAACAGAAGATGAAATTGAGGCTCAGAGAGTTGAAGAGACTTGATTCAGGTTACATAGCTAGAAAAAGGTGGGATCATGAATCAGCATTTGGGAATTCTTATTTCTTTTTTCATGATCACTATCATATTCTTCAGAGACCAGGCATTTCATATTTAGGAGTACATATAAGGAAATGCAAATAAGAGATCTAGCACTTTTGGGGGAAAGGGAGTTAAAGTCTCTTTAAAGTCCATAGGTAAGCATTCAATAAATGCAAGGGGATGCATCTGTAATAGATCTTAGTAACCTCTTTATTAATTTATGTCCATAGATTCATGTCTCACTCCCCACCCAGGAAGCAGTTCTGACAAGAATCATTTAAGGAGGTGTCTCCGGACTGTATCAGTGAATTGGTTGTGGGCTGGGCTTAAGATGCCAACAGACACCCTACACATTCTTCATGAGTTCTCCCCATATTTTCGGACTCAGGCACAGAGACAGTCCAGAGGAGGGCTATGCCTTGGCACCAGCTGAGCTCCCACTTACAAAGGGGGGCCAGGAAGGGGAAGTTTCCAAGAGAGTTTTGCAAGGTGTATGCAATGATTCTTGTTTTCAGTCACCTTGAATCCTTTTTTTGAAAAGTGTAGGGCATACATCCATTTAAGAAAGGCTTTCTGACCCTCACGGTTGTCCACACAGCTTGTCAAAGAAAACAACCCTTCTCTATCACATATGGGCTCAGCCATTCCTCACTTAGAGCCAAGCATGAAGCTGTTGTAATTCAGTATAGAGGACATGGCCAGGGACCATCAAAATCTAAAAGGGAAAGACATCCCTAGACACTGCTATGATTCATCATGGGGCAGGATGGATATCTTTACATGGATGACTTTGGGGCACAAATGGACCTGTATTAAGTAGGCCAAGCCCTTTTCTTGGTGCCAATGACCACTGAGTCTTCCTCCTCATTCAGGAAGTAAAATTGCCAATGTACAATACATCCTCCTTTCCATGTAGTATTGGATTTAAGTTACAATGAGGTCTATGTTTAACCAAATGATGGAACACTTCCAGCTCCACAGCTGTGGGACACTTCAGAAAGGGTTGGGGATGTGAATTGTCTCATAGGAGCTGATGATAAGGAACCTTAATGGAATCTTGGCAATAAAATCAAAATTGAACTGAAAGATGTTTCTCCAATCAAAGTTTTACTGCTGTAAGTAGCAGAATGTACCTTGGGAGCTACACTGCAACAAGTAACCATTTACCAATACTCTGCAAATATTTGTGGTTGCAATAGGATTCAGTTTTTCTGACAAGTAATTCCTGAGGTCCATTATGACTAATATCCTTAAATAACTACCCCTGATTTTGGACTGCACATTGCAGCTCACAGACTCCCCTGGGGCCCTGGGCCACTGGTGAGGAAGTGGATGGGTGTGATCCAGGTATAAATAGCTTCTAGACGGGCTGAATCATCCTTATGGTTGGCAGAGTCTGCAGTTGTTTCTCCCATTATAGACTTTTGCTCTTTTTGAGCATTCACTTCATAATACATAAAACACAAAACATAGTCATACATAAATATACTGAAATAAATTAATGCTTTAATAGGGATTATTATTATTATTATTTTAAAAGCATCAGCTCAGAAAGCAGAGCCCTAAGCGAGTAGGACTAAGCCCAGGGGAATTTTGATAGGAGAGGGAAGGGACAGGTTTAACACAGGAAACTTTTGTGCACAGAGGATTCCAGGGTTGTGCCCTGTAGGTCAGGGAGCTGGGATATCAGGGGGGTAACACGAGGACTGTCGTTGCTTGGAGTGGTGGTTAAGAGCTTAGGCAGCAACTAGGCCAAAAATGGAGAGAGAAGCCCAGAGATAAGAAGGGAGAGGGCATTTACGGCAAACTCTGTCTGTATTCCAACTTCACCTCGAGGTGAGTCACCTGGGGAGCTTGTTAAAATTCTGGGATGAATCCTGAGGTTTTGCATTTCTCACATCTTCCAGGTGCTAAGTGCAACACAGACTACTCTTTGAACACCCAAGCCCTACTTTTTGTTATGGCTCCTAAACTAGCCTGCAGCACTGGTTGGATTCTAGAGCCCCAATTTCAGTCCCGAGTCTGCCACTTGCTAGCTGTCTCACCCTGAACAAGTTGCTTCCTCCAGGCCTCAACTTTTTCATCTGTACCTGCTTTTCTAATTATTTCTTCTCTCCAAGTTAGATTGGGGTCAACTCTGAGCACTGGGGACTTCTCAGGTGAAGTTCCCTGAGTCATGGAAACCCTGAGGGGAGCGGAGCTGGGAGAGCAGCAGTAGCCCTTTGCACCCCTTTCTGCCAGAACCTGGTTTGTCAGCCATTGCTGCCTCGCTGGGAGCCACTGCTGTCTCCCTGACATCTTCCTCCCTCTCTCATCCATGAGTTTGCCTGGAGAGGAGAATGCAGAAGAGGAGCGGGTAGGCCAAGGAGCACCAAACTCTGTGTCTGAGAGGGACTCTAATGCTTTAGTGTTCTTAAAAATAAAATGTACCATTTCATAGTATTTGAGCACCGTACATAACTCTGCTAATCTGAGAGCACAAGGATTCTTCTCTAACTCTAGTTATAGGTCTACAAGATTGTTTTAGGGGCTTGTTACTAAAGCTTTTGAGAAACCAGAGCCAGACATTCTGCCCTACAAAGTTATTTATTTTTCCTTCTTTCTTAAAAAAAAAGAATTTGAGGTGGCAGTTTCTGCTGTCCATTGGGAAGATTACTGTGATCAACCGTAGAGACACCAGTTTCCTGAAGCTGCATAATTCTGGTGGTTTGAAGGTATGTCATTGTCCTGAGACCAGCAGGCAGGAGGGCGAGGACGGCTCGTTCTCACGCTGGGTTCTTGTCAGGAACCATTCCTTTCCTTTTCTCAGGCTGACCAGACTAGCAGATCCATAGACACACTGCCCTCCTTTGCATTCTCACTGCATTACAGGCTCCAATACCCTGCCATGGAGATGTGAGTGCTTCTCCTATATTCTGATGAGGAGGATGCAGGCATGAGATCATTGTTTTTTATCTTATTTCCTTTCTACTGGAGATCTCTACAAAAACTTCCACTTCTTTTTGAAAAGAGGAGACAGTCTATGGGCTTACAGATTCACTGTGAAGGAAGAAAGGGTTGCTTCGGGGCACTTACCCTCTGGCCACATTCCCTGAGTGTTTGATCATTTCTGCACCATTGCTTTCTCACGTAAAATCAAGCCAACAGTTATTTCCCCCACCATCTGCTACGCTAATGACCCCACTGGCACTTTGAACAAATCTATTGCCAAATTGGCACTATGGAGGTAACTAGTAATTTAGGTCACATGAGTAAATGTACACTATTCCACACTGGATCTCACACAGTGTGAGGTATTACTGAACACAGAGTGGGTATAGTTAGCTGTCATTTTTAAAAAAACAACAACAAATCCTGCATCAGTGAGAACTTTTGAACCCAAGAGGTTGACACTCACTTCAGATACTCCACTCCATTGGGGGTGGCTGGTACATTATATCTTCTCATGTACTCATGCATCTCTGGGAAGCTTTGCCTCACATAATCTTCAGCACTGCTTTCCCGGACAGTTCCAAAGCGGAAGCCTTGGGACGGATGATGGAGCTATGAGGGAGAAAAAGAAATGTCTTTAATATAAATTAGTCTTAGAATTTTCTTCTTCCATCACTCTTTGAAATGTAGTTAATGTAGAATTTTATGCTAAATGCTGGCATAAATATGCACATAGAAATGTGCAGACATAAGGAGATGCTCTTTCATATCCCAGCTTTCACATTAGTAATTATTCTATCTTCAGAGGCAAAGAAACAGAAAGCAAAACAATTTTCTGCTTTCTATTGAGAACTTATCACAATTCTTTAGAAACTATGAATTGGCATGTAGAATCAACCTCATTATTATAAGTTGCATATCAGACATAGTATATGGTTAAGATAATAAATTAAAGATTGTGTTCCTCCTTGGTTAGAATTAGACAAAGGCCAACTTAAAACCTTGCATCCTGAGATTGAAGTGTACCTGACCCAAAGCAAAGGCTATATCTTTTTTATCTGTCTTTATGCTACACAGCATGTCATCAAATAATGTTTTGTTCAATGTTCTTTCATTGTGATGCTTATGAGAGGCCATAGGAACTTAACTCTTGTTTATATCAATTAGCCTATGTAAAACTGATGTTGTTAACATTGTTTTGCCACAGTTCTAAGAACCTATCGATGACATTAAAGGAGGATTTACTGTCTTACATTTTGAGTCTGTAGAATTTATTTTTGGTGTTACTATGAAATGGTCTCTTTCCTTTAAGTATTACCCGGTGCTGAGTTATGCTCTACCTTTGCTCAAATGGAATAGTATGTAAGACAACTGGGAGTAACAGAGGACAAGGGGAGCGCAGATGGACCCGGTGATGTCACCGTTCTCCAGGGGCGAGGCCTCCCCGTGAGGAGCGCTGCACTGGGCATCCTGCAGAGGCCTTTTGTCACTAGGACAGTGAAGAGAGAGCACATGAACTATTATTGTTCCCGAAAGTTATACAGAAGTGTTAATGTGGAGTCTAGACTTAGATTATTTCAAATATAAGAATGAACTGGGATTGGGCCATATTATGAAAATAGTAGAATATTTTATAGTCAGGAGTATTTTTGAGATTATCCCCACAATTGTAAAGTTTTTGCAATTTTTGTCATGTTTCATGTTAACATATTTGATATCATTGGTTCTGAGTTCCTGGGGACAGGAATCCATGGATGGGCTTCAAGGAATTTATAAAGTTCCTAAAATTGAAAGCTACATTTAATGTAAATACGTGTTTGTAATTTTCCTCTATGGAGGAGATAGTACAGAGGTTTTTTTTTTTTTAATAATTAGGTTTTCAAACCAAAGAGCTTAAGAACTCACTGAATATGGTAACAAATAACTTATATTTGAAGGTGAACTAGTTTTGACACACACTAAATATCTAGCAATATGGCAATAAATTATATGACACATTTATAAATGTTATGCCATGTATAAGTATGTTTGTGAAACACATTTAGCAAAACAAGACAAGTGCTCATATAATAAATAAGTAAAAAGCTTTTGTAGGGTATGATCAAATTTAAATATGCATAGTTATAAATGCTATGATCCTCCACATATATCACATATGTAGACACCCACGCACTTGGAAGAAAATGTATTAAGATACTAGCAATATTTGTCTCATTGGGCGTGAAATGAAATGACAGGTGTATTTAGTTATTTATACATTCTCTATAGAAATATGCCTTATGATTTTAAATAGAAAAATCTATTTTATCACAAGCCAAATAAATCACTCATTAGTTTATTTGAAATTCATTGAGGACTTCCGTTTGTACAGCTCTCAGGTTTACTGGGGCCACAAAGATAAATATCTGCAATTATTGCCACATAGGAACTCATCACCTGGTTGTTCATGATATGTCATTCATTTATTTATCACAGGCATCTTAGGTACCTACTATGGTCAGTTGGTACCTGACAGGTGCTCTAAACATGTTCATTACATTAATTTTATACCACTCTTTAATCCTCCCTTTAACCATTTAACTTTCATTCATCCTTCTCCTCTCAGCTTAGGTATCCCTTCCCTAGCTTGCCGTCTATGCCAGACCCCCCTTTCATAAAGCCCTCATAGTATACATACTTCTCTTTTGTAAAACTTAACACAGTAGCACTTTTTAAATTTAACTGTGTAATAGTTTAATATCTAGACTTGCAGGTTCTTCAGTGGACTGGAAGTTCGTTGTAAACTATTGAACTAACTTGTATTCCAATGACTTTCATCATGCAGCTGCCCAATAAAATGCATGATCAATAATTGACTGGTAACTCTTCTTTGAACCCAGAGGAGATGAAAGCTTTGTCATCCCACTTAGCACAAATGAGGCTAAAAACACAGCTTACACCTAAAGCCTTTGAAATGAACCCTCCTTTTAAGGTAAAAGAATGGTTTTAGGTCAGTGATTACAATATTTTTTTTGTCTCAGATATGAAAGTGATTCCTCTTAGAGGTCCATTATCTCACATAATGCTATGGCAATACTTTCATGGTCTGTAACTGTTTCTAGGCAAGCTCTTGGCCTGTTTTCTCTACTGAGTGTATCAGCACATCAGTCCCTCCCCAGACACGGGCTGGAGTCGGGAACTGGCAGGCCCCGGCTCAGAGTTCCAGTGGAGAACTGGCCCTCTTCCTCTCGGCACCTCTCTGCTGCCTTCGCTCACATTCCCACCTCTTCCCATGGCCCTAATGCCTGGGAAGGAAACAGTTTTGAGGTCTTGAGAATGGAAAGTTCTTTATGGATTATCCATGGGAGAAAGCATTTTGTTAGCCTGATAGGGACCCTGCTCTAACTTAGAGATGCTTTACAACACTGCCGCCTCTCCAGTCCAAGCCACCATCATTTCTGCTCCTTACACATCCCCTCTCTTCCCCTCCAATCCAGTCAGAGTCATCTTGTTAGAGCCCAAATATGATCACGCCCCTCACTTGCTTAACACCTACCAATGGCTTCCCACTGCCCTTGGAATGAAATCAAAACATCCTTCACATGGCCTATAAGGCTCAACATGATCTTGCTCCTGTCTCCTCTCCAGCTTCATCTCCCCACGCTCCCTGGGACCCTCCAATTTTAAGCCAGTTTTCTCAGTTCTTCCGATGCATATTTTTTGATTGATCAGAGCTCTTCCCCATAGTCTTCATATAGCTAACCCTTTAAGTCACGCCTCAGAGAACCCTGAGCTGACTCCCATTGTACCTTGCAATTTCACACAGTATTGATAACACTTGCAATTATCAGTATTTGTTCCATGTCTACTCTACCTGCTAGCTCGTGAGTTTCCAGGAGGGTAGGGCCCATGCCTACCCCATTTGTGTGGTCATAAGTCCTGAACATACAGCTGCTACTGCTGTCGTCATTGCCATCATCATCATTATGCAGCAAATACAGGGCTTGGCACATAGTTGATGCTTCAGAAATGTTGGTTTAATAAGTTATCACTATTAACACAAAATGGTCTCAGGTTAGATACATGACCAACCTGATACTTTTGTCACACTTCATGTCCTCTGTTCCCTTAAAAATTAACTTTTCCCTTTAATTCTTATTCTAATTCATTCAAAATGATATGTTCTTTTTTTTTTTTATTTCTGTGTGTGAGTTTCTAATGGAAAACACAATGGGCTGCTCAGCAGTCACAGAATAATAGAATCAGAAGAGGGATCAAAGAAGTGATTGATGCAACCCAGTAGATTCACATAGTCTATCCTGTGTGTCCATGTGGTGTGTAATTCAAACAGCCAGGGACATCAGAAAGCCTGATTCAAGGAGGGAGGATAAAAGTATACAGAGAGCTAAAGCATTTGAGCTGGATTACAGCCATCACCAGGAAGTCCCAGAGAGAAAAGAATTTCTTTAAAGTCTCAACTAAATATTTCACCAGCTCTTACAATTCTGTTTATATTTGCATCAACCTCTTCAGGCCTTGGGGAAATATGTATGGTTAAACTATCTATTTGTATGTGAATTGTTCAGTATTAATGGAATATTGAACTTCACCCAGAGCACCTACACAGAGAATAATTAGAAAAACATTTAAAAGACAGCAGAGAAATGGCTCGAAACAAAATAGAAGCAAACTCAAGAAATAATCAAGCTGCTATGGCTAAGGTAAATGTGATGCTTTCCATTGAAAAACAACCCCAATATTGAATATATTCATTTAAGGGCTACATCTGTATTTATCTGAGAATGGTACTTAAATAATAAGTGGAATATAGCATTGGACCTGGTGTAATGTCCTTTGAAACTGGGTGGAAAGGACCATTCTTAACTGGCCGAATGGAATTCATTTAGAACGTATGGACTCTTTAATAGGGATGGTCTCAGGGTTTGGAGGGGTTTTAAAAGTCACTTGCTCAAATTGCCCACTGATGCCTCAATCCTTTATTGAGCAAAGGTAAATATACCACCTGTAGTTCCCTCAGAATGTAGAATCTGTTTCATTAGGCCTAGGTTAGAGCCTGAGAGTCTGCATTTCTAACTAGCTCCCAAGCTGATGCCGATACCTGGGTTCATGGACCAGTCTGAGTAGAAAAGGCTTTATTTAGAACACCACCATTAAGTGTCCCTTAAGCCTCTGCTTCAGTGTCTCTGGAGATAAGGAAATCACTCCTTTTGATGCACATCTTATATACATGAAGGATAATTTTGTTTCCTCACCCAGCCAATCTATCTATCTGTATAACAACAACAACAACAACAACAACGAAATAACAGCTAATATTTTCAGATATTTACTGTATGCTAATACATTTAAATATAACAAGAGTGCTAATTTTACTTATTATTATATATGAAGAATTGAGATTCAGGGATATTGTTTAAGATCAGCAGAAAGTGATACACCAAGATGGGGATCTGATCCTGTCTGACCCTTATCCAGCACTACATTCTGCCTTTGCAGATGTGTGTTGTCCAAATTCTCATGATAACCTAAAAAAAAACATATGTATCTGCACTACAATTTCAAAATCATTTTCGTTCATACCAGTGTGGTCATATAATTTATATTGCAAACCA